TTTTTTATGGTCCTATATAAGGCGTGGATTTTTTAAATTATTTTTTTTTTGTATTTTTTCATATTCTATTCATATGGTCCTATATATTAGTTCCGAACCTATGCTTGAATACCCATGAAAGATAGTTGTTTTTTATTCCTTTTTGTACTTTTGTTGTTGTTCTAAACCATCTAATGTTTTATTCATAATTTTTTTATTAATGCTTATCTGTTTTCTTCTTCTTCTTCCTTTTTTTCTTTAACAGTATAGCGCACGCGATACCTCACCGTTGAGTGTTTATGTTATGCATCCCTTTTGGAATTGGATTGTCAAGGTAAATATGTGCAGCAAACATGTGCTTACAAAATAAATTCATAAACCCCCCGTCCCAACCTCCAAACCCCACCCCTCATTTGAGGCAGGCATGTGTGGAAAAGTGAAACTATAAAACAATAAATCCTATCATAAGGTTGGATTTTCAAAAGGAGGGCAGATAGGAAGGAAGGACGGAAGGCACATATAAAATATATATAGTATATACATATTCTACGGACAACATTCCTTTGGCATTGTTACAAAAAACACGGGTATCGTATATACAAAAGACAACTACAGTGGCGATGGAAAGTAGGCGAACACTATTGAAATTGATTTTGAGGAATCAAATATTTTAAAAAATCCTGTAAGGAAAGTGTAAAAGTCAGACGGCCGGTTAATGGGTACCTTATACTATTATGGGTACATACAAGAGGTTGCAAGAAATCGGAAGAAAATATATATGGGAGATATATTGAAATCTGAAGCGATTTCAACAAAATTTAACACACATAATTCTTGGCCTAATGCAGCACGCTGTGCAAAATTTCCTCTCAATCGGAATAATTGGTGTCCAAATTATTTGAAATCGGAATATACAAGGGAGCTATATCGAAATCTGAATCGAATCATTAAAACTTAAAATACATCATTCTAGTCCTATTTCAGTACGATGTGCAAAATTTGGTGGAAATCGGACAAAATTTGAGGCTTTTGTGCCCAATTTACATGGAATCGGAGGACATTTTATATGGGAGCTATATCTGAAGCGATTTCAATACCAATTAATACACGTCATTCTAGTCCTGATTTCGGGCGCTGTGCAAAATTTCGTCGAAATCGGACAAAATTTGAGGCGTTGGTTCCCAATTTACATGAAATCGGACGAAAATATATATGGGAGCTATATTGAAATCTGAAGCGATTTAAACAAAACTTAATACACCTCATTCTAGTCATATTGCAGTACGATGTGCCAAATTTCGTCGCAATCGGACCATCGTTGGCTATTTGGTGCTCCATTTATCTGAAATCGGCGGAAAATATACAAGGGAGCTAAATCCAACACTAAACCGAGTTCCATAAAATTTAACATACCGCATTCTAGTCCTAATTCTGTACCCTCTGCAAAATTTCGTGCCAATCGGACAAAATTCGGAGCTTTGGTGCCCAATTTATTTGAAATCGGATGCAAATATATATGGGAGCTATATCCAAAACTAAACCGATTTCCATAAAATTTAACATACCTCATTCTAGTCCTAATTCGGTACCCTCTGCAAAATTTCGTCGCAATCGGACTAAATATGAAGCGATTTTAATACAAATTAATACACGTCATTCTAGTCCTGATTTAGTGCACTGTACAAAATTTCGTCGAAATCGGACAAAATTTAAAGCTTTTGTGCACCATTTACATGAAATCGGCGGAATATATATATGGAAACTATATTAAAATCTGAACCGATTTTAAGAAAATTGACTGAATTCGGTACGATGTGCCAAATTTCGTCGCAATCGGACCATCGTTGGCTATTTGGTGCTCCATTTACCTGAAATCGGACGAAAATATACAAGGGAGCTATATCCAAACCTAAACCGATTTCCTTAAAACTCAACACACCTCATTCTAGTCCTAATTCAATACCCTCTGCAAAATTTCGCAATCAAACAAATGTTGGATATTTGGTGCACCATTTTCATTAAATCCGACGATACTATACATGGAAGCTATATCTAAATCTGAAGCGATTTTCACCAATTTTAATAGTTTTTCTCCTCAGACCAAATAAATGAACGATACAAAATTTCATCTCAATTGAATGATAATTGCGACCACTATTTTGTCGTGGTGGTCCCAATACGGCGTTACACAAATTTGAAGAATTTTGAGGGTTTTGAAAACGTTTCTCTACTGTTATTTGATATTTTGGTTTCTCACTGGGTAGCAAATCAAAAATGGTCGACATTGGTCCACTTTTAGGTATAGCCTCCCTTTAAGAGTACCCCGGTATTTCGGTATTTTGAAGATTTTTGGATAGGTTTTCTAAGCGAAATGACTGTAATATTTTTTTTTTTTTTGGTTCTCATTGGATGCCCTAACTTCCTACCAAAAATGATCAATATTGGTCCAATTTTCAGGGTTCCTCCCATATAACGGTACCTACAAAATTTCGATTTATGAGGAGTTTCGGCACATTATCCAACAGAATTGGCTGAAATTTGGTATTCAGGATGCTCATTGGGTAGGAACTCTTTTTACCACAAATTATCAATATTGGTCCAATTTTAGGTATATCTCCCCTTTAAGGGTAGCGGATATTTTTCTGTATTTTGAGGATTTTGGGTAGATTTTTCAATCAAATTAACTGTAATTTGGTATTTTGGATTCTCATTGGATAACAAATCTTCGTTCCAAAACATAGCAATATCGGACCATTTATAGATATAGACCCCCTTAAAGGGTATCCCGATTTTTCGGTATTTTAATGATTTTGGTCAGGTTTTTTAAGCGAAATTACTATAATTTGGTATTTTAGGATCTCATTGGGTAGCAAATCTTCTTACCAAAAATTGTCGACATTGGTCCACTTTTAGGTATAGCCTCCCTTCAAGGGTACCCCTCGAATTTCGGAATTTTAAGAAATTTGGCCAGGTTTTTCTATCAAATTGACTGTATTTCGTATTTTGGGTTCTCGTTGGATAACAAATCTTCGTACCTAAACTAAGCAATATCGGATCATTTTTAGGTATAGACCCCCTTACAGGGTATCCGGGATTTTCTGCATTTTGGGAATTTTTGACACGTTTTTCAAATTAATTGGCTGTAATTAGGTATTTTGGATTATCGTCATTGGTCCACTTTTAGCTATAGCCCCCCGTTCAAGGGTACACCTCAGATTTCGGAATTTTAAGGATTTTTGTCCAGTTTTTAAAGCAACTGCAATTTGGTATTTTGTGCTCTTTAAGAGCAAATCTCCTCACAAATTTTCAATATTGGTCCCGTTTTAGGCTCCCATACCTCTAAATTCTATTACTTTGGAGATTTTGAGCACATTTTTCAATCGAATTGGCTGTAATTTGATATTATGGGTTCTCATTAGGTAGCAAATCTTCTTACCAAAAATTGTCAACATTGGTCCATTTTTAGGTATGGTCCTCTTTAAATGATACCCCGATTTTTCAGTATATTGATCATATTTGGGCCATTTTTCAACCGAATTGGCTGTATTTTTATATTATGTATACTCAATGGGCAGTAAATCTTCCTATCAAAAATGGTCAATATTGGTCCAAATTTCAGGGTAGCTCTCATAAAAAAGGGACCCCTCAAATTTCGATATTTTTGTGGATTTTAAGCAAGTTTTTAACCGAATTGTCCTAAATTCGATATTTTGGGTTGTCATTGGGTAGCAAAATTTCTTACCAAAAATAATCAAAATTGGTTAAAGTTTCAGGGTACCTCCCATATAACGGTACCTTCCAAATTTAGATATATGAGGAATTTCGGCAGATTTTCCAATAGAATTGGCTGTAATTTGGTATTCTGCATGCTCATTGGGTGCCAAATCTTCCTTTCTAAAGTTATGAATTTTGTCCCACTTTTAGGTTAAGCCCGATTACTCCGATTTTTCTGCATTTTGATGATTATGGGAAGGTTTTACCACCGAATTTGCTGTAATTGAAATTTTTTGGTTTTCATTGGATGGCAAATCTTTTTACCAAAAATGATTAAAATTGACTCATATTTTGGGGTTGGTCCCATATAGCTATACCCATCAAATTTCGTATTTTAGGGGTCTTGGATACGTTTTCCAAAACATTAGCTGTAATTAAGGGATCTCATTGGGCAAATTACAATAGGTTGTAATTTGATATTTTTAGTTCTCATTGTAGCAAATTTCCCTACGAAAAATTATCAATATAGGTTCAAATTTCAGGGTACCTCCCATATTATGGTACTCCTCAAATTTCGATATTTTGGGGATTTTAAGCATGTTTTCAACCGATTTGTCTCAAATTCCATATTTTGGGTTCTCATTGGATATCAAATCTCCATACCAAAAATTATTAATATCGGTTCAAGTTTTAGGTTAGCTCTCATATAAAGGTACCTTCCAAATTTCGGAATGTGTCCAAAATCACATTTTCCAAAAAAAATGTCTTAAATTCGATATTTAGGGTTCTCATTGGGTAAAAAATCTTCCTACCAAAAATTATCAATATCGGTTCAAGTTTCAGGGTAGCTCCCATATAAAGGTAACCCTGAAATTTCGATATTTTGCCGATTTTGGACACATTTTCCAAGCGAATTGTCTCAAATTCGATAGTATGTATTCTCTTTGGATGGCAAATTTCTCTACCAAAAATTGTCAATATCGGTTCAAGTTTCAGGGTAGCACCCATATAAAAGTACCCCTCAAATTTCGATATTTTGGGGATTTTAGGCACATTTTCCAACCGAATTGGCTGTAATTTGATATTGAGGGTTCTCATTGGGTAGAAAACATTCCTACCAAAACTTATCAATATAGGCCCATGTTTCAGGGTAGCTCCCATATAAAGGTACCCCTCAAATTTCGATATTTTGGGGATTTCAGGCACATTTTCCAACCGAATTGGCTGTAATTTGGTATGTAGGGTTCTTAGGGAGTAGCAAATCTCTCTACCAAAATTTATCAATATTGGCCCATGTTTCAGGATAGCTCCCATATAAAAGTATCCCTCAAATGTCGATATTTTGGGATTTCAGGCACATTTTTCGACTGAATTTGCTGTAATTTGGTATTAAGGCTTCTCTGGGGGTAGCAAATCTCCCTACCAAAATTTATCAATATTGGTCCATGTTTCAGGGTAGCTCCCATATAAAAGTACTCCTCAAATTTCGATGTTTTGCGATTTTTAAGCACATTTTCTAATCGAATTGACTCTAATTTGACATTTTGGGTTCTCGTTAGGTAGGAAATCTTCCCACCAAAAATTTTAAATACTGATCCACTTTTAGGTGTATTTGAGGATTATTGACGTCCGAATCGTGTCAATAATCTTCAAAAAATATATTTTTTTAAGTTCCCATTAGTTAGCAAATCTTCCCATCCGTACTCAACTAGATTTTACTTTTTTATATAAATTTTCAAATCCATAAAAAAATTAGATTTTAAAATTAAAAAAAAAAAAAAACTTCTGCGGAATTCCCTTGCGTGTTCTGCCATGAATGCGGTAATTATAAATAAATTGTGATATTTTCACACACACACGTTCTTTCCGGCATATATCAATGTTATAAATACGTAATAATTAGGAGATAAGGGGTGGGAAGTAACTTCGAATGAATGTTATTAATCACCCGGCAGTTTTTAAAGAAAAAAAAAATACCAGACCGCAGATAGCGTGATAGTCAAGTGTGGTGGGTCATCAATAAATGAAATGATAAGCAGAGTGACTTATTTCTCAATAAGTATTGAGACACCTTTCAGAGATAATCTAAATGTGATAGAAAAAATTACTTTAAAATTGGATACCCAAGAAAAAACTTTTAATTATGAAATGACTTCCGATTAAATTGAAAAAAAAATTTTTTTTTCTTCCAACCAAATATAGTCACCCTCCAAAAATTTAAATATTTTAAATCTCGTCATTTATATACAACCCCCATTGGGTGCTAATAAAACAAATTGTTTCCCTTCAATCACGATTCGTCATACAATTAATTACAGCGGGGAATTAATCAAACCACTGTGCCCCTGTTTTTTTTCAGTTTTTCTGTTCATGGCTTTGCATGTGTACGGCCTATTTATGTCAAAGGCTCAAGCAGAAAGGATATTTGCCTCTCGGCAGTTGTTATTTTAGCTTTTCATTTGTTTGGCAAATCTAGGCAATTAAAATCAACATAAGCAGGGCAGTGAAACATGTAGATATGTGTGTTTGTAGGTACATAAGGGTGGAAGCCCTCAAAAATAATTTTTAGAAAAAAAATCATTTAAAAAATCCACGCCTTGTGGTCTTGTTAGTTGGCTTGTGCCAGAACTTTCTTTCCATAAGCCGAGCTTAAAAAAGGTTTCCAGGCGCGTCGGTCTTCTGCGCAGTTTTTCCAATTTGACCATATTCGGCAATGATCTTAGTCTTTCCATCTTATTCGTGGCCTTCCCCTTCTGCGTCAACCATCAGCTGGTTCGCTTTTATATGGCTTCTGGGCTGGGGCATCTTCATCCCTTCTCACAACATGACCTAGCCAACGTAGTCGCTGCAGCTCAATACGTCTAACAATGTCGATGTTCGATAATAGCTGGTACAACGCAGATTGGCCGTAGATCTTTCGGAGAATTCACCGTCAACGCAGATCGGCCCATAGATCTTTCGGAGAGTTTTAGCCTTATCTGCTTACGCAATTACCCATGCGTCAGATCCATATATCAACACGGGTAGTATCAGCGTCTTGTAGAGTGTGAGTTTGGTCTGGCTGGCGGGAGGTGGCCTTGCTTTTGAGTTGTTTGCTCAGACCATAGTAGCATCGGTTGGCCATCACTATCCTTCTTCGAATTTCAAAACTGATGTCCATCGTTTTGTTTATGGCGGTACTAAGATATATAAAATCTTTGACTACCTCGAAGCTGTAGTTCTTGTTTCTAAACTGCTTACTTAGACTATAGTAGCATCTGTTGGCCATCACTATCCTTCTCCGAATTTCAAAACTGATGTCATTCGTTTTGTTTATGGCAGTACTAAGGTATATAAAATCTTCGAAGCTGTAGTTCTCAAGTTCCACAGTTGGTCCGAGTCTACTGGACTTCTTGCGCGTTCATACCATCAGCTTGGTCTTCTCGCCGTTTACTGCCAGACCCACTTTGGCAGACTACTTCTCAAAGGTGGCTGTTACCTCTCTCAATGTTCGACCCATTATGTCGATGTCATCGGCGTAGGCGAGTAACATGTGTTGTTTGGTGTACCGAGTGCCATTTCTGTTCACTTTTGCCTCTCGTATGACCTTTTCCAGTAGGATGTTAAAAACGTCACACGGCAAACTATCACCTTGTCTGAATCCTCGTTCGGTATTAAAGGGCTCCGAGAGGCCCTTTCCGACTTTAACTGCTGATCTTGTGCCAGTTAAAGTTATCCTGCATAGCCGGATTAATTTTGCATGAATGCCAAAAGCAGACATGACTTTAAACACCTCTGAACGGATAGGGCTATCGAAGGCGGCTTTATAGTCGACGAATAGGTGAAATGTGTCGATGTGTTTTTCGTGGGTTTTTTTCAGGATTTGGCGCAGGAATGCCAAATGCAGACATGGCTTTATACACCTCTGAACGGATAGGGCTATCGAATGCGGCTTTATATGGATTTGCCAGGTCTGAAGCCGCATTGGTATGGTCCAATAATGTCATTGACCATTGGCTTCAATCGTTCGCACAGTAATCCAGCACTTTATATGCAATGGGAAGGAGACTTATTCCTCCATACTTGGCACATATTGTCTTGTCTCCTTTTTTGTGCACGGAACACAGGATGCTGAGGTTCTAATCGTTGAGCATGCATTCTTCTAGCCAAATTGTACTAATCAGCTGGTGCATGTTCCTTACCAGCATCTCACCACCAGGTTTGAATAGTTCGGCTTGTAAACCATCGGCACCTGCTGCTTTAATATTCTTCAGCCGATTGATTGCTATTCTGACCTCATCTTGGCTAGGTGGTATGTACTCTATACCGTCATCTATTATTGGGTATCCTCTATTGAGGATACCCCTCTTCACTGCTACTATTTGATACCAGAAGTTTTTCAAAATGTGCCTTCCATATCCTCAGCACGCTGTCTGTATCTGTAACCTGTAACTTCTTCATCTCTACAGGAGGATGTGCCTGCGCCAAAGTCTTCGGTTTGGTATTTTACCCGTTGGTAGAATTTTCGGACTTCATTCTGACATATCGATTTGCTCACGCTCACGTTTTTCTTGTTCTTTCTTCTTTTTTCTGAAAATACGTTTCTCCTCTCTCCTTTTCTCGCGATAATTCTCCATCACATTATGTGTTGCTACTGTCTGCAGGGTTGCCCTATACGCTGCGTTTTTCATATCAGTAGCATTACGGCACTCCTGATCATACCATGGGTTTCTTGGTGATGGTCTTTGGTACCCAAGTGTTGATTTTGCTGCAGTTTGTAGGGAGTGGGTAATTCTTTGCCATTGTGCTTCTATATTATTATCAGGACAAGGAGTGCTTTCGTCAAGCAGTTGGGTAAGTTGAGCGGAGTAGGCCTCGGCTACCTGTTGTGTTTGCAGCTTTACGAAGTCAAATTTCCGTGTTGCATTAGATCGCACCTTTGCTTCTACATTAAGACTGGTGCGAACCTTGGCTGCTACAAAGTAATGGTCCAAATCGATATTCGCTCCTCGGATCGATCGAACGTCTAATACACTGGATGAATGCCTTCCGTCTATCACAACATAATCAATTTGATTTCTCGTTGTTCGATCGGGAGAAATCCAAGTGGCCTTGTGTATATCGAGATGCTTGAATCTGGTGCTGCTAATTACCAGGTTTTTTGCTGCCGCGAAGTCAATCATCCTCATGCCATTGTCGGATGTTTCTTCATGAAGGCTGAATTTTTCGACGGCGACGGCCAAAAATATTTTCCCTTCCGATTTTTGCATTAATGTCATCGCCAGGGCATCGATCATTTGCTGTTTTTAGGCGCTCGTAAAATATGTCTTTGGTCTGGTGAGCTTTGTTTTCGGTCGGAGCATGGGCGCAAATAATACATCAGTCTTTGTTGCGCTTTTATGAACTTCGTTTTTATGCGGATTATAACAATTCGCTCATCTACTGGAGTGAGTCTGGAGACGAGGTCTTTTATTCTCTTATTAACCACAAATCCGCAGCCAAATTCATGTCGCGTTTCTTGGCGGCTATAATACAGACGCCCTGTACGCCAATCATCTCATTTTCTTACGCCAGTCCCTTTCCATAGGGTACCCCTATTAATCTCAATTGTTGGGAGTTTGTGCAAGTTTATCATTCGAATTGGCTATAATTTGGTATTTTGAATCCTCATTAGATAAAAAACTTTGTACCAAAAATTATTAATATCGGTCCATTTTTTATTGTAGCTCCCATATAAGGGTACCCCTATTTTTCTGAATTTTTGGGATCTTGGCCAAGTCTTTCAACCGAAATGGCTATAATTTTATACTTTAAGTTCGCATTAGGTTGCAAATGCACCTACTAAAAATAATCGATATCGATCTACGTTTTAGGATAGTTCTCATATAACAATACCCCCTATTATTCCGAATTTTGGGCATTTTTGACACATTTTTTAACCAAATTGCCTGTAATTTGGTACATTGACTAACCATTGGCTGGTAAATCTCCCTACCAGAAATAATCGACATAGCTCAACTTTTTAGGCTGGCTCCCATATAACGGTACCACCAAAAATTCCGATATTTGGGGATTTTGAGAATTTTTTTTCAACCGAAATGGCTATAATTTGTTATTTTGAATCCTCATTAGGTAATAAATCTCCCTACCAAAAATTATCGATATCGGTCTACTTTTTAGGATAGCTCCCATATAAAGGTACCCCATTATTCGGTATTTTGGGGATTTTTGACACGTTTTTCAAACGAATTGGTTGTAATTTGGTTGATTGTGTTCGCATTGGGTAGAAAATCTCCATACCAAAAATGATCGAATTCTGTTCACTTTTTATGATAGCTCCCATATAACGGTACCCCCTATAATTCGAATTTTTGGGGATTTTGGGAATTTTTTTAACTGAAATGGTTATAATTTGGTGTTTTTAATCCTCATCAGATAGAAAATCTCCCTACCAAAAATTATCGATATTGGGTCACTTTTAATAATAGCTCCCATATAACGGTAAAAATCCCCACCTTCTGTCGGACCCTTAAAAATAATTATTAAAAATATTTAATTTTTTTTTAATTTTTATTTTCTGTTTCTCTTCTTCATTCCAGTTCTTTCCACGATGGCTGGCACCGAACGTTATGACCTTCCTCGGATTCCTATGTACAGCTTTAAATTTTTTCCTACTCTCATATTATGATTGGAATTTCTATGCCAGTTCCGGCCTGGATGGTACAACACCCATCCCTTCCTGGGTATGGCTGTGTACGGCCATCAACATTTTCCTGGCCTACACCCTCGATGGCATTGATGGTAAACAGGCAAGGCGCATAGGCCTCTCTGGACCGTTGGGAGAACTTTTTGATCATGGATTAGATTCGTACACAGCTGTATTGATACCCACATGTCTGTATAGTATATTCGGACGTTCGCCGACCTATTCTGTGGCACCCATACGTATGTACTATGTATGTTGGATGGTGTTCTTTAACTTTTATGTTTCCCATTGGGAGAAATATAATACCGGTGTCCTCTACCTACCCTGGGGCTATGATCTGAGTATGTGGGGCTCTACAGCTATGTATCTGATCACATGGTGGTGTGGTTTTGAATTTTGGAAACGTGAACTGCCATTTGGCATCCCGCTGGGTAATGCCATGGAATTTTTGCTGCATTTCAGTGCCATGGCCAATACACCCATGGTGGTGGTGAATATTTACAAGTAAGTGGCTCTAAATTAATTTTAAAATTCCGATTTTAATTTTGATCTCCTTTCTTTTTCAGCTCTTATGTCCAGCGTACGGGTAAAATGCGCACATTTAAGGAAGCCATACGGCCACTGTGGCCCCTCTTGGCCTTTATGGTTTTACTTATACTGTGGCCTTTTATCTCACCCAATGATATTATGGAAAAGGATCCCCGGGTGCTGTTTATGCTGAGCGGTACCATATTTTCAAATATTAGTGTAAGTCCTCCTGCCTCTGTAATTTAAAAAAATGTTTCCTTTGGAAATTTAGCTACTTCTTGACGGTTGCCTATCTCAACATTTCTTAGGAAACTTATCCATTTCCTGGCGGTTCCCTATCTCAAAATTTTCTTCGGAAATTTATCCACTTCATTGTGGTGGACCCCCCGTTCCTTATCTTTAGTTTTTAAAATTTTTTTTTATTGATTTTTTTATTTCAACAATTTTGTATTTTTTATTGCGGTTTTTTCTGTGACGAACCTCGTCGAACGACCCGTTGCCGCATTTTCAAGTACTTTTAATTATACCACAGTAAATCAATTGGGTATACACTTTGATAACTATGAATCACACTTGTTGTTGTTGTAGTAGTGTTGTTGTAGTATTACCACCAAAGGTGATTTCATTTAATGTCCAGCAACCACTAAAGAACCTATGACCATATTTGAGGCTAGAAAAATAGCCGATGTATTTCTTGAGGCACAACATTTTATTGATAAATAAAAAAAAACGTGACAAATGGGACTAATAGGTATTTGAAAAGATAAAAAATATAAAACGAAAAAATATATTTTTTATAACAGAAATTGAAATTAAAAAATAACATTTTCCTAAAAAAGGCAATTTTAGTTCCGACATTTTTTCAGAATAAAATTCCTGTCTGTTTAAATCACGTTAGAGCTTTGAAATTTTGCACAAGCATTGCTAGTGCTTCAAGAATACTTGATATTGAAAATGGGATATATCGGTCCATGTTTTGGAATAGGTCCCATTTAACGATATCCCAAAATATTCGAAATTTCAGATATTTGTGAAAAATTTTTTCAATCGAATTAACTGTAATTTGATATTTTGAGTTCGCAGTGCGTAACAAATCTCCCTACCAAAATGATCGATATCGGTCAACTTTTAAGGATATTCTCCATACAACGGTACCCCCAAAAATTCAGATTTTTGGAGATTTTGAGAACTTTTTTCAACCAAAATGGCTATAATTTAGTATTTAGACTTTCCATTGCGTAGCAAATCTTCCTATCAAAAATGAGCGTCATCGGTCCACTTTTTAAGATAGCTCCCTTATAAGGTTTCCCCTATTAGTCTGAATTTTTGGAAGCTTGGGCAAGTTTTTCAATCGAATTGTATATAATTCGGTATTTTGAATTCTCATTAGATAGTAAATCTCGTTACCAAAAATGATTAAGATTGGGCCACTTATTATGAAAGCTTCCATATAAGGGTACCCCCATTATTCTGAATTTTGGGCATTTTTGACAGATTTTTTTATCCGAATTGCCTGTAATTTAATACATTAACTTCCCATTAGCTGGTAAATCTCCCTACCGAAAATGATCGGCATAGGTCCACTTTTTAGGATAGCTCCCATATAACGGTACCACCAAAAATTCCGATTTTTGGGGATTTTGAGAATTTTTTTCACCGAAATGGCTATAATTTGTTATTTTGAATCCTCATTAGGTAGTAAATCTCCCTATCAAAAATAATCGATATCGGTCTACGTTTTAGGACAGCTCCCATATAAGGGTACCCCCATTATTCCGAATTTTGGGCATTCTTGACATATTTTTCAACCGAATTGGCTGTAATTTGGTACATTGAGTTCGCATTGGGTAGCAAATCTCCCTTCCAAAAATGATCAATATTGGGCCACTTTTTATGATAGCTCCCATATAACGGTATCCCCAAAAATTCACATTTTTGTGAATTTTGAGATTTTTTTTCAAGCGAAATGGCTATAATTTAGTATTTTGAATACTCTTACGTTGCAAATCCTTGTAGTAAAAATTATCGATATTGATCCGCATTTTATGATATCTCCCATATAAGGATACCCCTATTTTTTCTGAATTTTGGGGATCTTGGTCAAGTCTTTCAACCGAAATGGCTGTAATTTGGTACTTTGAGTTCGCATTGGGTACCAAATCTCCCTACCAAAAATTATTTATATCGGTTCACGTTTTATGATAGCTCCCATATAACGTACCAATAAAAATTCCGATTTTTTTGGGCATTTTGGGACCTTTTTTCAACCGAATTGGCTATAATTTGGTATATCGAATCTTCATTAGTCAACAAATTTTTGTACTAAAAATTATCGATATTGGGCCACTTTTTATGATAGCTCTCATATAACGGCACCTCCCATTATTCCGAATTTTTGATATTTTTGGCACATTTTTCAACCGAATTGCCTGTAATTTGGTTCCTTGAGTTCGCATTGGGTAGCAAATCTCCTACCAAAAATTATCGAATTGGGACTACTTTTTATGATAGCTCCCATATAAGGGAACAACCAAAAATTACGAATTTTGAGAACTTTTTCAATCGAAATGGCTATAATTTAGTACTTTGAATACTCATTACGTTGCAAATGCTTGTAGCAAAAATTATCGTTATTGGTCCACTTTTTATGATAGCTACCATATAACGGTACAACAAAAAATTCCGATTTTTGGGGATTTTGAGAACTTCTTGTCAAACGAAATGGCTATAATTTAGTATTTTGTACCATCATTAGGTATCAAACCTCCATACCAAAAAATCCCCCTTCTAAACTCGATAAGTGTTAAAAGTTTATTTTAATTTTTTTTAACAATTTTTAAATTATTTTTTAAAAGTTTAAAATAAAAAAATCCGCGCCTTATGTGGACCCTCAAAATTAATTTTTTAAAAAATTCACGCCTTATATGGACTCTCAAAATTAATTAATGTGGTACCCCTTAAAAATAATTTTTAAAAAATTCACGCCTTATATGGAGTCTCAAAATTAATTGTTGTGGTACCACTTAAAATCATTTTTAAAAAATCCACGCCTTGTTGTGGTACCCCTTAAATATAATTTTTGAAAAATCTACGCCTTGCGTAGGACCCTTAAAAATAATATATATATATATATATATATATTTTTTTTTTTCTAATTTTTAAGTAAATTCTTACCTTCTTTGTTTTCTCTTTTTTTGCAGTGCCGCCTGATTGTTGCCCAAATGTCGAATACACGCTGTGAAAGTTTCCACTGGATGACACCGATCTATGTGATTTGTATAGCCCTCGGTCTGTGGCTGCCATTCCTAGAACGTTTCATGTTATATTTCCTATTCGTGATCACCACGCTTGCCCATTGGCATTATGGCGCTGCTGTGGTCAATCAAATGTGTGAACATTTCAATCGGATTTGTTTCAGTGTACATATGCGACAACCTGCTGCAGATAAATTAAAGGCCAAAATTAATGGTCAAAGCTCAAGTACAACAACAAATGACAACAACACTATCACATCATCATCGACAACAACAACATCATCAGCAGTTACTTCCAATTTAGAAAGCCCCCACTCCTCCACCTCGATCTTGGCATCACAAAAATTAGAATAATATAATTTTTTATTTAATAATAATGTTTAAGTGTGTGTGTTCTTATTTGAAAATTATTTTTTTAATTTAATTTAATTTTTTTGGAAAGTATTTTTGTTATTTTAATGTTTAATTTTAAATTGTATTTATTTGTTTTATCTTAACGAACCAAAAGGAAGAAGATCATTCAATTCAGGGCATTATGTTTGTATGTGCGTGTGTTTTGAGGCTATATATTATACATAATTCAATACTGAGATTCTAATGCTATATAAATATGCATATATATATTTTTTTTAATTTTTAATTTGTTGTGATTTTGTTTGCATATTGTGTATTTATAAAAAATCCTTATTAGAATTTCTAAATATTGATAATAAGCTTTGTATTAATTCTCAGTCTAAATGTAGTAGTGTGTAATTTAAAAAAAAATAGATTAGCTTTATATTATTTCAAACGCTTATTTAATTTCCTCTGCAATTTTTATTATTTTTAATTTGTTTTCTTTTTAATTTTAATATTTTTTAATTCTTATTTTTTCTCTCGAATCTTTGGTTCCTTTATTTTTATTCTAATGTTCAATATATCAAGATTGTTTTAGAATTGATTTGATTGATAGGTCAGGGGTAAAATATCTATTTTTTAAAAAATTAATTTTAAAAATTTTATTTCCTCTACCTGCCAAAAAAATATTGTTCTCAAACAATCTTGTCAAATTTGTATAAAAACAAATTTAGTCATCACCCAATCCCTTTATTTATTTTAATCAAGAAATCTGATTAATAAACCAAAAAATTTTTAATAAAAAATAATACCCCCCTTTCTTAATCTTAATCTAACCTATAGTCCCAATTAAACCTTCAATATTTCAATATTCTAAGAAACCAGCACAAATTTTAATAATCTATAAAATTTATTTTGAGATTGTATTTTTTTTAAATTCAAGCCTTGTGTTAATTCCTAAAAAAATATATTTAAAAAATGTTTTAATGCTATAAAAAATATTTTATAAAGATCTACCCAAAGCGTAGATTTTTCAAAAAAATATTTTTAAGGGATCTATCCAAGGCGTAGATTTTTTAAAGAATATTTTTTAGGGGTCTTCGCGGGCGTGGATTTTTTAAAGTTCTACCCAAGGTGTAGAATATTTTTTTTTTTTGAAAATCCATACCTTGTCCAATCGTAATGAAATTTGGCACAGCTCATTCTTTTGGCCCGGGGACTAACCCTAATGAAAGTAATGAGAATCGATTCAGGTTTAGATATAGCTACCATATATATTTTCATCCGATTTTATGGAAATCGGGCACCAAGTAGTCAAAGTTTGTCCGATGGCCAAGAAATTTTACACAGAGTACTGATTTGGGTCGATAATGATGTGTCTGAAATTTTATTGGAATCGGTTCGGAATTAGATGTAGGTCCCATGTATATTTTCATTCGATTTCATGTAAATCGTGCACCAAATGGCCAATGTTTGTCCGATTGTGATGAAATTTGGTATAGAGTCAAGAATTAGGTCTAGAATGAGGTGTATTAAATTTTGTGCAAATCGCTTCAGATTTCGATATACCTCTCATATATATTTTCATCCGATTTCATGTAAATCGAGCACCAAGGAGCCGAAGTTGGTTCGATTGCGATGAAATTTGGCACAGCTTACTGAATTAGGTCTAGAATGATGTGTATTAAATTTTGTGCAAATCGCTTCATATTTCGATATAGCTCTCATATATATTTTCATCGGGTTTCATGTAAATCGGATACCAAATGGACAAAGTTTGTTCGATTGCCTTGAAATTTAGCATGGAATACTGATTTGGGTCTAGAATGATGTGTGTTAAGTTTTATTGAAATCGCTTCAGATTTCGATATAGCTTCCATATATATTTCCATCCATTTTTTTTAAAATCGGCCACCAAATGGCCAAATTTTGTTCGATTGCCATGAAATTTAGCATGGAGTACTGAATTGAGACTGACATACGGTGTGTTGAATTTGGTTGAAATCGCTTCAGATTTCGATATAGCTCCCATATATATTTTCATCCGATTTTTTGAAAATCGGCCACCAAATGGCCAAATTTTGTTCGATTGCCATGAAATTTAGCATGGAGTACTGAATTGGGACTGGCATAAGGTGTGTTGAATTTTATTGAAATCGCTTTAAATTTCGATATATCTCCTATATATATTTTCATCCGGTTTCATGTAAATCGAGCATCAAGGAGCCGAAGTTGGTTCGATTGCGATGAAATTTGGTACAGGTTAATGATTTAAGACTAGAATGATGTGTATGAAATTTCATAGAAATCGGTTCAGTTTTAGATATAGCTCCCATATATATTTTCCGCCGATTTTAAGGAAACCAAATAGCCAATGTTTGTCCGATTGCCTTGAAACTTAGCATGGAATACTGATTTGGGTCTAGAATGATGCGTATTAAGTTTTGTTGAAATCGCTTCAGATTTCGATATAGCTCTCATATATATTTTCATCGGATTTCATGTAAATCGGGTACCAAATAGCCAATGTTTTTCCGATTGCCTTGAAACTTTGCATGGAATACTGATTTGGGTCTAGAATGATGTGTTTTAAGTTTTATTGAAATCGCTTCAGATTCAGATATAGCTCCCATATATATTTTCATCCGATTTTATGGAAATCGGGCACCAAGGAGCCAAAATGTTTCCGATAACGATGAAATTTTGCACAGCGTACAGAAGAATTAAGACTAGAATAATGCGTGTTAAATTTTATTGAAATCTATTCAGATTTCGATATAGCTCCCATATATATTTTCATGTGATTTCATGTAAATCGGATACCAAATGGCCAAATTTTGTCCGATTGCGATGAAATTTTGTACAATGTATTGGATTTGGACCAGAATGAAATGTGTGAAGTTTTATAGAAATCGCTTTAGATTTCGATATAGCTCCCATATATATTTTCATCCGATTTCATGTAAATCGGGCACCAAAGAGCCAAAGATTGACCGATTTTGATGAAATTTGGTACAGTGTCAAGAATTAGGTCTAGAATGATGTGTATTAAATTTTGTTGAAATCGCTTCAGATTTCGATATAGCTCCCACATATATTTTCATCCGATTTTAGGTAAATCGAATACCAAATGGTCAAAATTTGTTCGATTGTGATGAAATTTTGCATAGAGTTTTACATTTGAACTAGAATGAGTTGTGTTAGAATGGATGGATTTTTGGAAAAAATAAAATTTTTTGAAAAAAATTTTTTTAAAGAAATTTTTTTTTTCTAAAAAAAATTTATTATTTCTTATTTTCTTTTCTGCTTTATTTTCGGTAATTTATTGCCAATCTCACAAAATAGTTAACTAATATTTGTTTCTATAGTTTACACATAACCTCAAAAAAAAAAAAAAAAAATTAAAAAAATATTTTTTTAAATAAAATGCAATCTATAACACAAATTTGTTACCAAATATTAAGCAAAAGAATTATTTGTATTAAGTATATTAATATTTTATTGCTAATTTTAAGTTCTTTAGTGACATAAATATTTATTTTTTTTTAATTTCAAACTAACCTCAAAAAATATATTTCTATAAAATATATTTTTTTTCCAAATTTCAATAAAGGTCAATTTCAAATTACAACCTAATAAAATAATAAATCATAACAATAACAGTCTAAAAATAATAAATCTTAATCCGTAAACTCTGTCTCTCTCTAGAATTCCCTCTATATCAACAATAAGACACCCCTCCCCCAGCCCTCTACACATATAACTATCTATTTTTGTATAACAATAAAAATAATGGTGATATACATTTAATAAAAAATACTAATAATAAAAAAACAACAACAACATGAAGAGATTAATAATAAACAACAACATGAAGAGATTAATAATAGAAAACCAAATACAAATCCAGGAAAAAAGACATCACTTCATATTAAGAGACAAAAAAATATTCAACTATAATTTAATTTAAAAAAATAATTTAAATAAAAAAATTAATTTTTTAAAATAAATTATTTTAAAATATATATAAATATTGTAAAAAATATATAAATACTCAGAAAATAGCTTGGAACGTAATTCTACATATGAAGGAAAATAAAAGTTTCAATACAAATATTTATAAACATAATAATTATATATAAATATTTAATAATAATAAAAATAAAATTTGAAATAAAAAAAGACAAAATTATAACGAATAAACAATGCAAATAAATTATTATTATTTTAATTTAAAATATTCAAAAAAAAAAATATATTTTATTACAATTTTAAAATGTTAGGTAAGATCGACCATTAATTTTACCATTACTACAAAATACTAAAAAAAATATTTTATTTTAAATTTGAAATTTTTATATTTTTTTATTATTATGTTAATACAAAATTTTAGGTAAAAATCGACCAAAACTTTTCAGACCAACAAGTTTTTATTTGTTTTTTTTTTTAATTTCTTTAAAAAATCATCATATATTATTTTTTATTGTTTTTTAATGACTATTTTCCATATTTTTTATATATATTTTTTTCAGCCATGTTCCGGCATATATTAAAATATTTCAAATCAATTTTGTATTCGCAGTATTTAAGCCATGGTCTATTATGGGTGTACGCTCAGTAATTTCCTAATCCAAACCTCCCATCGCAATGAAAGGCTTTCTAACAACACTTTTGCTATTGGGACTATTGTCCGGTTCCACACTGGCCTCAGAGGTAAGAGGAGTCAATTATTTCAATTAAAAAAAAAATTAATTCTTTTCTTTTACAGCGCAAAGTAGGACGTTTCACTGTGAGAAAGGTAGGCTAAGCAAGGAATAAAGACGAGAAAATATCCACAATTTGCATTGGTCACCAAAAATAAAAAAAAACGAAATTTATAAAAAATAAAAATAATTTTTAAAAAATCCACGCCTTGTGTAGGACCCCCAAAAATAATTTTTAAAAAATCCACGCCTTGTGTAGGACCCCCAAAAAGAATTTTTAAAAAATCCACGCCTTGTGTAGGACCCCCAAAAATAATTTTTAAAAAATCCACGCCTTGTGTAGGACCCCCAAAAATAATTTTTAAAAAATCCACGCCTTGTGTAGGACCCCCAAAAATAATTTTTAAAAAATCCACGCCTTGTGTAGGACCCCCAAAAATAATTTTTAAAAAATCCACGCCTTGTGTAGGACCCCCAAAAATAATTTTTAAAAAATCCACGCCTTGTGTAGGACCCCCAAAAATAATTTTTAAAAAATCCACGCCTTGTGTAGGACCCCCAAAAATAATTTTTAAAAAATCCACGCCTTGTGTAGGACCCCCAAAAATAATTTTTAAAAAATCCACGCCTTGTGTAGGACCGCCAAAAATAATTTTTAAAAAATCCACGCCTTGTGTAGGACCCCCACGCCTTGTGTAAAAAAATAATTTTTAAAAAATCCACGCCTTGTGTAGGACCCCCAAAAATAATTTTTAAAAAATCCACGCCTTGTGTAGGACCCCCAAAAATAATTTTTAAAAAATCCACGCCTTGTGTAGGACCCCCAAAAATAATTTTTAAAAAATCCACGCCTTGTGTAGGACCCCCAAAAATAATTTTTAAAAAATCCACGCCTTGTGTAGGACCCCCAAAAATAATTTTTAAAAAATCCACGCCTTGTGTAGGACCCCCAAAAATAATTTTTAAAAAATCCACGCCTTGTGTAGGACCCCCAAAAATAATTTTTAAAAAATCCACGCCTTGTGTAGGACCCCCAAAAATAATTTTTAAAAAATCCACGCCTTGTGTAGGACCCCCAAAAATAATTTTTAAAAAATCCACGCCTTGTGTAGGACCCCCAAAAATAATTTTTAAAAAATCCACGCCTTGTGTAGGACCCCCAAAAATAATTTTTAAAAAATCCACGCCTTGTGTAGGACCCCCAAAAATAATTTTTAAAAAATCCACGCCTTGTGTAGGACCCCCAAAAATAATTTTTAAAAAATCCACGCCTTGTGTAGGACCCCCAAAAATAATTTTTAAAAAATCCACGCCTTGTGTAGGACCCCCAAAAATAATTTTTAAAAAATCCACGCCTTGTGTAGGACCCCCAAAAATAATTTTTAAAAAATCCACGCCTTGTGTAGGACCCCCAAAAATAATTTTTAAAAAATCCACGCCTTGTGTAGGACCCCCAAAAATAATTTTTAAAAAATCCACGCCTTGTTGAGGACCCCCAAAAATAATTTTTAAAAAATCCACGCCTTGTGTAGGACCCCCAAAAATAATTTTTAAAAAATCCACGCCTTGTGTAGGACCCCCAAAAATAATTTTTAAAAAATCCACGCCTTGTGTAGGACCCCCAAAAATAATTTTTAAAAAATCCACGCCTTGTGTAGGACCCCCAAAAATAACTTTTATAAAATCCACGCCTTGTGTAGGACCCCCAAAAATAACTTTTATAAAATCCACGCCTCGTGTGGGACCCCCAAAAATAACTTTTATAAAATCCACGCCTTGTGGAAGACCCTTAAAAATATTTTTTATAAAATCCACGCCTTTACTTGTTTAATTAATTTTTTTATTTCTTTATTGGAGATTTTTTATGCCACGTGTCCATGGACCTGCTAGGGTCTATAGTAGGGAGGAACAAAGAATTTCTGGTATAAAAAAAAATAATTAGGAAAAATTGACTTTTCATTTCCATATACTCACATCTGATGATTTCGAGGCGGAGCCAGACACAATCAGGCTGACAATTAATAGTCCGATTCCTACTAAACCTTTCATTGCAATAGACGTTCGTGGAAAATTAAAATCAATTGTTAGTTTTTTGAAAGTTTTAAATATTTCGATAACAAATCTGTTCTACTAATTTATTCCGACACATGCCTCGCTTGGGTTAATTGTTTGAAAATATTCCCAGATTAGAGGGCAGAATTTTTTAAAAATTATTTGAAGGAGCTACTATAAGGCGTGGATTTTTTAAAAATTATTTGAAGGGGCTACTATAAGGCGTGGATTTTTTAAAAATTATTTTGAGGGTCTACTATAAGGCGTGGATTTTTTAAAAATTATTTTGAGGGTCTACTATAAGGCGTGGATTTTTTAAAAATTATTTTGAGGGTCTACTATAAGGCGTGGATTTTTTAAAAATTATTTTGAGGGTCTACTATAAGGCGTGGATTTTTTAAAAATTATTTTGAGGGTCTACTATAAGGCGTGGATTTTTTAAAAATTATTTTGAGGGTCTCCCTCCACATAAGGCGTGGATTTTTTTAAAAATTATTTTGAGGGTCTACTATAAGGCGTGGATTTTTTAAAAATTATTTTGAGGGTCTACTATAAGGCGTGGATTTTTTAAAAATTATTTTGAGGGTCTACTATAAGGCGTGGATTTTTTAAAAATTATTTTGAGGGTCTACTATAAGGCGTGGATTTTTTAAAAATTATTTTGAGGGTCTACTATAAGGCGTGGATTTTTTTAAAATTATTTTTGAGGGTCTCTACTATAAGGCGTGGATTTTTTAAAAATTATTTTGAGGGTCTACTATAAGGCGTGGATTTTTTAAAAATTATTTTGAGGGTCTACTATAAGGCGTGGATTTTTTAAAAATTATTTTGAGGGTCTACTATAAGGCGTGGATTTTTTAAAAATTATTTTGAGGGTCTACTATAAGGCGTGGATTTTTTAAAAATTATTTTGAGGGTCTACTATAAGGCGTGGATTTTTTAAAAATTATTTTGAGGGTCTACTATAAGGCGTGGATTTTTTAAAAATTATTTTGAGGGTCTACTATAAGGCGTGGATTTTTTAAAAATTATTTTGAGGGTCTACTATAAGGCGTGGATTTTTTAAAAATTATTTTGAGGGTCTACTATAAGGCGTGGATTTTTTAAAAATTATTTTGAGGGTCTACTATAAGGCGTGGATTTTTTAAAAATTATTTTGAGGGTCTACTATAAGGCGTGGATTTTTTAAAAATTATTTTGAGGGTCTACTATAAGGCGTGGATTTTTTAAAAATTATTTTGAGGGTCTACTATAAGGCGTGGATTTTTTAAAAATTATTTTGAGGGTCTACTATAAGGCGTGGATTTTTTAAAAATTATTTTGAGGGTCTACTATAAGGCGTGGATTTTTTAAAAATTATTTTGAGGGTCTACTATAAGGCGTGGATTTTTTAAAAATTATTTTGAGGGTCTACTATAAGGCGTGGATTTTTTAAAAATTATTTTGAGGGTCTACTATAAGGCGTGGATTTTTTAAAAATTATTTTGAGGGTCTACTATAAGGCGTGGATTTTTTAAAAATTATTTTGAGGGTCTACTATAAGGCGTGGATTTTTTAAAAATTATTTTGAGGGTCTACTATAAGGCGTGGATTTTTTAAAAATTATTTTGAGGGTCTACTATAAGGCGTGGATTTTTTAAAAATTATTTTGAGGGTCTACTATAAGGCGTGGATTTTTTAAAAATTATTTTGAGGGTCTACTATAAGGCGTGGATTTTTTAAAAATTATTTTGAGGGTCTACTATAAGGCGTGGATTTTTTAAAAATTATTTTGAGGGTCTACTATAAGGCGTGGATTTTTTAAAAATTATTTTGAGGGTCTACTATAAGGCGTGGATTTTTTAAAAATTATTTTGAGGGTCTACTATAAGGCGTGGATTTTTTAAAAATTATTTTGAGGGTCTACTATAAGGCGTGGATTTTTTAAAAATTATTTTGAGGGT